GGGGGGGAGCTACCTGATACAGGTTAGGGAAGGAGAGAATTTGAGAAAGTGTTTTTCTCTAAATATGTATGTATCCTCGGTAGTAGGCTGAGACTCTGAGAGAGTAAATATGATACTTGAGTTGGTTTTTCCAATGAAACTAAATGCGAATCTAGAGGTTGTTGGTGAACTTACAATCCTTTGGTCTTGTTTTATTAAGTCACAACCTTATCAATTTTTTTTAATCAAGTAACAACCGTGAGAAGTAACTCATTTAAGTGATTAATAATCGGCTTGCTAACCACTCACTGGGGTTGGGCGCATTAATGATGTTTGGTTTAGCTTTGATGAGTCGAAAAAATGCATTTGAAATAACAAAAATATAAGAAGTAGGGATAAGGATCAAAACTGAAATTAGAAGGACATAACCACTGTTCTGTACTTCTGTATAAGATCCCTTAAATTGCACTTTTAAAAAGAAAAGTTATTAGAGGCTCTATGATTGGCCAATTGAGTTACACGTAAACACTATTGGTAATCCTTTATAATTTGCATAGATTATAGTCGAGGTGCTCACAAGTTAGTCCGAACTCCACAATAAAACAAACTGTATAGATTATACTCAAGTCAAATATAACTTTTAAGCACATAAAAGTATGTTCTAGTGGTCGATGAAGTGGGATGAAAACCACGGTATACTAGGGTTCAAATCCTAGCAAAGCAGAGAATGCTTGATGATTTCGTTCCATCTGCATGCATTGGTAGCACAATTATCCGTTAGAGATAGCAAGTACCTTGCGGAATAGTCGAGGTATGATCGGACATCACCACTATAAAAAAGGTCTAAGATAAAATGTAAGACATACAACTAATTACATAGTTATAAGTTATAACTGAGTAGATGCTGCCTCCAAATTGCTTAACGTAACCACCATATTTGGTGTTGGGAGGTTGGATAGGAATCATGACCTTTATTTACTGTAGCCTAATACATTTTACAATAAGAATAAACTCAAGGGGGAAAGGAAATGAGTTCTTTGCTGATGTTAAGACGCATGAGTAAGACATTAATAGTGATGGCATTTATTTGTTTGTGTTGTGTTGTCAAATCGCATTGCCATGTTTTGGAAAACCACAAGATTCATCTTGCTAGGATAAGAAATATTTTGTGGTTGAGATTATAATCCCACCTTTAATTTAGGGTATCTCCTGTAAGAGAATTGATTTTCCTCCCAGTGTGTGGGACACTTAACCATCCCTACAGGATTAAACATGGTTCAAACTATGTTCAAGTTTCAACAGTTTCCAGGAGGAGCCTAGAGAATTTTTCCCTAAAACTTGAAAAGCTTTTCAAGATCACTTGGTTAACCCTCATTGTAATATTTGCTTTCTGGTGGGTCATAATTATCACAATTTCAATTGATACAATTAATATCATATTTAATTTTGATCGCTATAAATTGAGTGAAATATTTTAACTTTGCTGATTTTGCTTATTTTTCATATGCAGGTGATTTGCATCTCAGGCTATATTATTCATAGCATGAAAGAAGAGCTGACTTTTTCCCTTTGTAGCTTAACCTTTTTATTTACATGTTTCATTGTACTCCATTAGCCATTTTCCTAATTGTTGATTTTACTGTTTTCTTCCCTTGCACTATCAACCATTAGCCATTAGCCATTTGCTTCTTGCTCATTATTAAAATGCTAGACTTCAGCCATGATCAGTTATGTGTTTATTGATGCAGCAATCTACTTGTAACATTAAGAAAAAAGAATATCTGTTTGAGACTAATCATCCCTTGTTTGTGGTTGTACGCTTTATCCACTCGTTTTTTGACAAAAAGAGCTCTCCTACTTGCGAAAAAATCAGTGAGTACAGAGTAATTGGGTCATTTATCTGGTGCATGATCTATCTTAACAAATAGCCAAGGTGGAGATGTTGAAACCTGGAGAATTCAGGTCCACTGAAGTCTATGCCAAAGGGTGTCAATTTGCACCAAATGGTGTTATGTAAATATGATAAGTATCTTATTACTACTTGAACAAAAACAAAACTGTCGGAATAGGAATCTCAATTCTGGATATATACTATATATAGTTGACTCGCAAGCAATTCAATCTGTCAAATACAAGTTTTATCATATATTATTCTCAGTTTACGTACTGGATGACTCCTAAAATTTTATCGTGCTCAATATACAACAATCCAAGCCCAGTTCCCGGGCATATTGGAGGGGCAAGTGCACAAGCAGCAAATTCGTGACCCCAAATTAAAGAATAACCGAAATTTATGAACTTATTAAAGTTTAATCACCTTAGAATCGATTTTAGACTCACGAGATTGAAGTTGAAAATCCCGAATCTAAAGTTGAAGACTGTCACGCCTAACTTCAAATCTAAATGTCTGAAGTTGACATATTACATGTACAGTCCGAACTTTAGACATTTAGGTATAAAATTTGATGTGACAATCCCCAACGGCAGACGTGTATTTATGAAGTTTGAAACTTCAAGATCAAATGTCTAAGGTTGAGAACTCTTCACATCCTACAAAAAATACAAATAGGAAAGATCGTAGCCAAATTTGGTCGATAACGATTTGTTAGCAATTACTTTCTAATTAACATCAAGTCATCAAGGATGTTCAAGTTTAACTAAGTGGTACAGAAGCGATGATAATAGACTACTTTTCAGAAAGGTGCTTATGTAATATAAGGAAGTTCGAGAATACTACTGAACTAAACTCGTGTTTTGGGGGCAAATTAAGAAAAGAGAAGTTTTATATTAATGGGCAATGCCTTATCGAGCAATCGTTCATGGTATGACGTGAGACATAGTTGTTTACCCGTAAGATGGTACAATTGAATTTATAGCGTGGTTTATAGACAAGCAAATCGATTTGATCCAAAAATGATAAAGAAATAGAAAAAAGTAAGACTAACGAACTGAAATTAAAGAAGATAACAAGCCTGGCTCCAAACTCGATCTTTCAGAGAGCAGAAAATAAAAGCCCTGATAAAGCGAAGATAAAACTATTTAGATTGAGCGTAAAATAAAAAAATAAAGCTTTGTATGCCGAATGTCTCCTATGTTACAATAGTTATTAACCCTCCTATTTATAGCCCTATCGAGGGAAACAAGATCCCCAAATCATGTTTCTTCTTGAATGAGAATAAAAGTGTCACTGATGGGTGCATAACGACTGGCTTTGAATGTAAACATTCTCTGTAACGGCTACTCATTAAATGCTTTCCGATGTCAAACCTTTGAATCTCTATTATCGGTTATGCTTCTATCGAAATTTGTCCTGCACCGGCTACATACTTCGCACCCGGTGTCAGTTATCTTCTAACTCATCTTTTGCATGTCTTCGGTTCCACGTGTCATCTCATCATTCGATCACCTGTTGTCAACCAATTACACCCCATAGATAGTCCCCCTACTTTCTGGTAGCGCAATTCGGTGTTATCGAGAAGTAGATAAGAATTCTTTTCTTGGAGGAAAAGTTCCTGAACGGTCTCTGACATTTGAAGGAATGCACGTCTTCTCGCATATAATACCTCGAACACGTGTTGCCCCGTGATTCAACATGTATTTTTGCCTATTCTCGAGGTAATTATGACCACGATTTTTGCCGTTTATAACTTCTCTGCTACTCAAATTTTTTTACTTCTTTACTTTTACTACTTTCACAAGCCTTTATCCATCTCTGAATTGGCATAGAACTTATCTAAAACTTTCAACTTTCTCGGCAGGAACTTATTCACTGACATTTTACCATCATGTTTTCTTACACTACTATCTTCGGAAGCACTAGTCTTCTCTTCGGTGGAGGCCGAAAGAAAAACAAGAACAAGGAGGTTGACGCTGAGTCTAAGCCTCCAACTGTTAACACCATCATACCATTGCATCTCAGCACCGCATCCGGTCTCCAAGAACAAATCGCATCTGCAAATTCCCAAAGCAGCATGTTTTGGCCAGTTAGAGCTGTCAATATGGGCTGGGCCGGGCTAGCCCAGCCCAGCCCACGTGGGCTTTAGCAATTGACGGGCTGGGCTAGCCCACCATTTTGATGGGCCTTATAATGGTCAGCCCACCCCAGCCCTATGTGGGCCGCAGGCCCCCACGGGCCGGCCCATCATTTTTAAAAATATAATTTTATATTTTTTCTTTAAGTTCTGACCTAAAAAAAGATAATTATTTGAAAGTTAAAAAATATCATATTGGAAAAAATTCGCAAAACTTAATAACTTTTTATATTGTTCCAATATATCACAATAAATACTAAAAAAAGTAAAAGAAAAGACTATATTTCATTCACTAAAAGTCAAAACTTAAAACAAACTATTCAAGAGAACGTTCATGATGCTTATGATATCCAACACATCATCTTCATCAAACACATTTGAATCCATTTGTGACAAGGTTGTCTTAACATCTTCACTTTCATCTACAATTCATATGCAATATTAATTAGTTAAATATTAAAAATAATCAAATTTTTAAAATTAATAATATTTAAATTCACATAAAAAAATATTACCAGTTTGAGTTCGGGAAAACCTGCGCAGCCAATTTCAAGTAGTAACAAGTGTTTGGACATTTTCATAATAAATGCAACTTCTGTACTTTGTAAGAACACACCACCAATGTTAAATGGTGATTCCGATGGTACAATGGTAATAAGAATGCTAAGTACATCACGCACCATCATTGAAAGATCGGGATATTTTTTAGAATGGTCCTTCCAATACATGACAGCATTGTCTCTTGAAACTTCTCAAGATCAAGTTTTGGTTCCTCTTAGTAAAGATCCAATTCTGACTTTCCATCTCTAAAGGCAGTATACTTTTTATTTTTTATATATTTTAAATAAATATTTTGTTAGGCCCACGGGTCGGCCCGACCCAGCCTCAGTCAAGCTTCACGGGCCACGGGCTTACTCGGTCGGGCATAAAAGCCTTATTTTTAAACGGGCTCCAAAAATTCTAGCCCAGCCCTGCTAAATCACGGGTTGGGCTGGGCTGGCCCAACGGGCCAAGCCCATATTGACGGCTCTATGGCCAGTTCATAGATAACCCTCCTCTATTTGACCCTTTAGTACCCCTATAGTGAAGGAGGACTGCAACTGTTCCAATGTTGAAAACTCGAAATCCATGCCCTAGATGAGGTAGAACGAGTTACCTACTCCAGAGAGGGTTTTATGTATGTCTATGCATATTCCTTTACGTTAGGTCCCTTTTACTTGGGGTCGAGTGAAGGACTTGACCCAATAATGCTGAAATTTTGCCACTGGTACCAGATCTGCTTGGCACAAGTAGGCCCATCGATATGGTGTACGGTAGCCTGCCTCCGTTAATTGTGCACTGAGACGGGGAAAATCTTAACTCTCGCACATATGATGTATCTCTACTCTCCTAAGATTTTCCACAAGGGAGTGTTAAGCTTTATCGAGCGTGGTCATCGCGTCCTTCTCTCCAGCGTAGAGGACGACAACGACCGCGAATAGATGGAACGGTTTGTTGTTATTGCTATACGGGGACATCATCCCAACCACAACTCCAGCTTTCCCTGAGTTGTGGAATCTTTTTCGTAAGTCTTCGTTATTCATTTCCTTTCTTCGTAAAAAAATAATTTCTTGTTTTACTAATTTCTTTTTAATTTTCTTCATTTTAGCTACCTGTTGGGAACTACCACGGGTTCACGGTCTGGACCGATGGGTTCATAAAATTCTGGATATCACAACTCCAGAATCCCGTCTGTGGAAAGAAATGGCTCCCAAATACGGGTGGAGAGCTAAGAACCACGGTAAGCAAAATTCCTTTTTTTTTATCTCAGTAGTTTAAGAGTAATTTACTTAATCATCTTTTTGCTTGTATAGGGATTTCGAGGGGTTCTGTTGTGTGCCCCGATGTCGATGTTCTCGATGACCCTGAGGAGGCCAGGAAAGTGTTGTAGGATGCCCTCAAGCGAAGCAGGGCTCATGGATCTACCCGAGCCTCCAATGAGGGTGCCTACTCTCGGAGTCCCCAGTCCAAGAATAAGAAGTCGAAGAGGAGATGTTCCTCCTGTTGAAATGTGAAAATAATAAACTTGTTTTTCATTTGTTCACATTAGTTCATGAACTAGAATATTAAGTTAGTACACGTATTAGAGTATGAACACATTGATGTACTTTGAAAAATACAATATCTAGTAGTGTCATCCATGTACCTTGAAAGATGTGAGGTATGGACTTAGTTATTATATTTACATGTATTGTTGGCTAGATACATGAAAGGTTTTTCCTATAAATAACCATGTATTCCTAGCCATTTGGAGCAAGTCAAGTTAATAGAAATCATCCTTTTCGCCACTTTCTTCTTTGTGAGTTTTGAGTGTGCTTTTGTTTTGTCTTGCTCTCCCAAATTTTCTAACATTGTGGTATTAGAGGTGGTGTGTTTGAGAGACAACCAAACTTGGAGATAAAATGACAAATAGTAATGGAACTCCATTTCAAGTTCCTATGCTTACAAAAGAGAACTATAGAAATTGATGTAACCGGATGAATGCCTTGCTTGGTGCCTATGATGTTTGGAAACCGGTGGAAGTTGGAGGTGATGAAGTGGAAGATGATGCCACTTTTAAAAAGAAAGATCAAAAGGCTCTCACTCTCATCCATCAAAGTTTGGATAACAAGATGTTTGAGACGGTTGCAAATGCAACCACCTCAAAGCAAGCATGTGAGATTCTTCAAACTTCCTTTAAAGGTTTGGATAAAGTGAAAAAAATTCATCTCCAAACCTTAAGAGGAGAGTTTGAATCATTGCATATG